TTAAAAGACTGCAGGCTGACTATGTCTCCAGTCTCTGAGTTAATGTTTACCATTGTAGACAGAGGCCGCGATTCACTCTTACGTTTGACAATTGAATAAGTCACTTGGGCATTCTCACCAATATCGACATCATGTGCAGATAAAGTTTTTAAGACATCTCCAACGGGACTATTTTCCTTTAAATAAACATTGAACACATCGTCAGCGAAGCGAGGAGCGTTGTCATTGATATCGGAAACATAAACAGCTAAATCTCTTGTGCTTGTGAGAGCAGGGATTCCTTCATCTGTCGCTGTAATTGTGATATTAAAAAATGAGTTACTCTCTCTATCTAGATGCCCATCTACGACCAACGAGTAATAGTTCTTGTAGTTTGTTTCCAGTTTAAACGGTCTGCTATTACTAATTTCACAGTGAACAATTCCATTTTTACCTCCATCACGGTCCAGCACTGAAACGAGTGCAATAGCTGTGCCTAATTTGGCATCCTCCTGGACAGTGTCAACGAGCGTAGTTACAGATATCTCAGGAGCATTGTCATTTATGTCCATCACTTCTATTAATATTTTGCACTGTGATGTCATTTGGGGAGAGCCTTTGTCACTGGCCTGCACGCGGATTTCAAAAGCTGGGTGATATTCAAAGTCAATGTTTCCTTTGACTGTCAATAGTCCTGAATGCTCATCAATCTGAAATAAGTTCAAAACGTGATCTTGATCTTGGCTGCTAAGTGAATATGAAATCTCTCCGTTCTGTCCCTCATCATTGTCTGTTGCCGTGACTTCAATTATTGACGACCCAAACGGTGCATTCTCAGTAATGCTTGTTTTATACAGTGGTTTAGAAAATATTGGTACATTATCATTATTATCTAAGACATTGATTATCAATTGAGATGTTCCGGTTTTCGGAGGTGCACCGCCATCTACAGCGGTCAGTGTGAGTCTAATTACAGCCTGTTTTTCTCGGTCTAAAGGTTTCTGGAGGATTAATTCAGCAGACACTCTTTCTCCTTTGTTAACTGCTAATGCAAAATGATCATTTTTACTCAGCTTGTAAGTACTGATGTCATTTTTTTCTACATCTGCATCGTATGCTGATAATACCAGAAATGTAGTCCCTGGTAATGTGCTTTCAGCTATTTCTATATTTTGTGAATTAGTGCTGAAAATAGGATAATTGTCATTCACATCTAGAATATTTATGTCTAAACGATATAGCTTTAATGGAGCATTTATCACAGCCTCAACGCTCACTGCACATTTTGCTGACTTTGCACACAGCTCTTCTCTATCTATTCTGTCGCTAACGAAGAGTATTCCTGTCTTCAGATTTACGTCGAAATACCTTTTCTTCGATCCTGAAACTATTCGGAACATGCGAGTTTCCAGCTCATGGACGCTCAGGTTTAAATCCTTGGCTATGTTTCCCACAGACGTCCCCGGGTTCACCTCTTCTGATACAGAGTAGGATAGCTGCCCAGACACCGTTCTCCAATAACAATCCAACAGCACAAAAAAGAGTAATGCCGACACATGATTTCTGCAAGGTGAAGACATAATCCAATCCGACTTTAAACCCGTATATAAAGCCCGGTAGATGCCCACTACTGACGGAAGCTATGCTCCCTTTTCTTGAAAACTGGACACGGTGTGGCTCATGTCGCAGCGATCTCTCTGAGCTTCCGAGTCTCTTTGTGTCAGAGCCCAGTACAACAGAACGCTGTGAATTGGGGATGGGCTTCTCGGTGTTTCTCATAATGTTATGGTCTACAGCGCTCTCTTATGGCTTCATACTATATTGACAGCACCAACGTCAATGAACAGAAGCATAGTAGTCATGAGAGCATCGAAAGATTATTCAAAACAGAAGCAGCACCAGAAAGCATGGGTTTTATATATTAGAAGTCTATTTCAAATTGCCAACTAATCTTATGTTGTTGTTTACGAACATGATTAATAGTACTTTTCTCTATTGACGATACGTTTCAGCTTGTCAGGAAGGTGGGTGTTGACGGGAGGACTCAGTCGCGGAATGAGGGGAACAAGGTTTATTGAACAAAAACAGGGTGAATGTCCAGACAAAGTACAAAACAAAGCTGTGGCAAACTGTGGGCAAAGTAACAAAGCAATGAGCAAACAATACTGTGGCAAAAACTATGACTTGACAAAGTAACAAAATAAAGATAAACAAGACTATGACAAAACGTGACTATGACTGTGGCAGAACTAGGACGAAACAAACCTGGCGTGGGGGTGACGACGGACGAAAGGACAAGGGACAAGACAAGAAGACAAGAACGACCCCGCACCAGACAAGGGGAAACGAGGACTATTTAAACACATGAGGGAGGGAAACCCCAGGTGTACACAATAGGTAATCAAGACGAGACATTCCCCCAGGCGTGACACAGCTTTTGATTCAAATCTTAGCAGGATGATTTTTGATGTTCTCTCTATAATCTTATTTGAAAAAACAAAATGAATTATTGCTGGGAATTACAAACAACTTGCTCTGTATTTCAAGTAAAATTATGATCATGATTAATGTAGAAAACACTTTAAACTGATTATCTCACTGCACCACAAAGTGTGAGAAGACGTGAAAACTAAAAACAAACGCACACCATAGTGAATCCTGATGGTAAAACCTAGCTTTTTCATAAGCTTTTGCGACAATGTAATTAATTAGTTAGTAACCTATAACATTTAATGAACTAAAAAAGGAATACAATGAAAATGAAATGTGGAAAAACATCTTGCTTTCCAGCAGGAAAATTCTAGCACCTTGGACAGCTACTGCCGTGTTACGTAGAATAGAGCCGGTTCTTCAGATAGCTAGTTAGGAAAAAAATCATTTTCAAAGTATAGAAAAAAAGGAAAATATTTGAAAAATTTATATCATTTAAAATCTCACAAGAATAATAATAGGCAGTATCCCTAAACAAGTAAAGTGATATATTTGGTAAAAATGTATTCTTCGCTCTACATTTAAAGGTTGTTTTGGCTATAAACCAAGTCATCAATTGTCATATCAGGATGTAATCCTGCAAAAAAGAAGACTAACAAAGGACTGCAATAACTTGCACTTGGATACAACAGAACTTGTTTGAAATACATTTGTGACACTTAGAATTTAAGACTTCATGGTCACAACAAATGATTGAAACAAAGAAGGCCACTACAATACATTCTTCTAAAGTCTTACCTTTTCTGTGTTGGGTAAAGTCTGAGTTCTGGTAAAAGTGTCTC